CTTCAACTCCCAGAATCCCCCAGCCAGCCATGCTGGGGAATTCTGGGAGTTGAAGTCCACCCATCTTAAAGTCGACAAGGTTGAGAAACACTGATCTACTGCTAACACACAGTCTGGCGTAGAGGATTTAAAACAGTAGTTAAAAAAATAAAGCTTTTTATTTTTGTTTCAGGAGTCTTTATAGAGAGATACTATTTCTCTCTCTTGTTGCTCTCGGAAGAGATAATATTGATATAGGTAAGCTGTCAGTTTTATTCTAAGTGTGTGTTAAATGTTCAATGCAAACTGGTGCATCTGGACTTACAAAGCATATTTGTATTTGAAAAGTGTGGAGTCCTGTTAATATTACATACAGGTATTTAAACCTAATCATTTCTGTTCTTTAAAATCAGGAATATATATTTTCCAGGGGCAGGGAGGAATGACATTCAGAAAGTCAGATAGAGAAGCTTGTATAAAGTTGAATAATTGAATTTGCTTCTCTGTGCAAAAATACTTTTCCCAACAAGTGATCCATAATTGCAAACTCTGGCTGGCTGGCTGGCTTTCTTGCTTTCTCTCTCTCTCTCTCTCTTTCTCTCTCTCTCTCTTTTTCTTTTTCTTTTTCTTTTTCGTGGGGAGAGAAAATTTTCCCAACCCTTATGCTGTTTCCAGGCTGAATTAGCATCTCTTCCCAACAATGGTTGCATTTAATTAATTTTTTAAGCCATCACACCAGTCAAAGCTTTTCTAGTAAAGGGGATAATTGAGCATGGATAATAACTTCCAGGCTGATAATGTGTGTGGGTGTATAAAATAAAAAGCGGAATGATAAATGCAAGAAGCTTAACAAAGTAATTTAAAAACCTTCCCTTTTTTTCCCTGCATATTGGGTTTAAATATCCTGCTTTGTGCATTTGAAATATATTGTTTATATACCACCCCATGTTAATTGATTTCAAGGTGGATTACAATCCTGTAGAAAATTTGAATGTTACTAATTTGTGAGCAGAGGTTTTTCCTTCCTTCCCTAAACTGAGGTATTCCTGAAGACAGACTATTGAGAAAGTAGGTAATCAGTTCCTCTGAAATCATGGAAGCATATTGTAGAGAAGATGCCAATAGAAATAGTTTAGACAGAAAGGATTCTTGGCTTAAGTGGTGTACTAAAGATTGTTTAAGAACTGCATGTTCCGGAAGATCCTTATTCAGGCCATTTCAGAAGAGACAAGGAGGTCGTGCTGCGCACCCTCATGTACGCACATGAGTTCTGCACGTACTGCAGAAAGAAAGCACCAGAAACTATAATTGGTAACAAAACGGTATCTCCACATTTCCAGGTCTTTTGGCTGACTGCAGCATGAATAATAATCATGCCATAGTCTTGAATAACGAGGCTTCTGTTTGGAAAAGTGGTATAAATTTTTAAAATGGAAGAAACCTGGACATTAAAGAAGCCTGGCAATGCCTGGCTGACCTTGACTGATCTTGAGAAAGCTAATCAGGGTCAGCTCTGATGAGGACTTCAGAGGGAGGCTAGCAGGGCTGTAGGCTAGACTTAGAAATGGGGGTCGGGGGGGGTAGAGAAGAAGTTTCTGTATTGTCAAGAAAACTACATGGATGTCCAGCTTGATGCTCAAGAGTGCTTACATTTTGACATTGGGAAAGCAGCAGAATTATTTGCTTCCACAAGTAATCAAGAGGATTAAACAAAGATCGTAAGCGCATACACTTCAGCCAGAATAGCCGCTTAGCTTGCTCCAGAATAAAGTTCAGAGCCCAGACAGGGAACCTCCAGGTCATTCCAGCCCAACTTTTGAGAGGAGCAGAAACTCAGAGGCGCTCTCCCAGTTCTAGCATGAGTGGCAGCCGTGGCCCTTGTTCTGGGACAGCCCATTCCTTAGCGACAGAGACTTCCAGCATCATTTGAAAATAGTCCCTGGCCACTCATCACACAATATTCTTGCACCTCAGCATCATGATCGGAGCAAGCCGTAGCGGATAGGAACCACAGATTTACCTTTCTTAGAATACTTTTTCCAGGTGGAGAGCAGAGTTCTGCCTGCCTATAAGCCTTGCAAAAAGAAGAGGACTATGAAAACATGGGTTTTAGAACTAGATATTTTCTTACGTTTGCTTGTCTTTCTGCGGGTGGCTAGGTTTTCATATACCTAAGGGTGTGTGTGTGAGTGTGTATATATACAGTAAAACCTTGGTTTGCGAATATAATTCGTTCCAGAAACATGCTTGTAATCCAA